CTGGGGAATTCTGGGAGTTGAAGTCCACTCATCTTAAAGTGGCCAAGTTTGGACAACACTGACCTAAGGTCAACATTTATTGCAGTTAATTATACAGTTTCAATCCGCAATACCCATCATAACCTACCATTACAGTAGTTTGTTACTGGTACCAGACTATTTCTCAAGTCAGCACCAATACCTGGCTAAAAACAAAATTCACCCCACACTTTAAAATGAAATCACTTTCTGTGAAGTAGAATGCCTGGAAATATTCCCTTCTTTAAAAAAGAAATTGCATTCCTACACATTTGATATATACTTGCTCATTTATTTAATCTAAATGTGGGCATTATGGATAGTGTTCTTAGAATCTGTAAACTTAGTTCAAATCTTTCAGTACCTCCGCAAAAAGTGAACTACCATCACGTGGAGAACGCAGGAGGAGGAACTGTTTATCACTATTAGAAACTTGCAGCAGCCAAACTTCTTTTCTTAAAAAAATTAGGGCGGAGTAAAAGTAAATCCCTCCTTCAGTCTGAGAACTGGGTAGGTTTCCATACACCCGATATTTGTTTGAAGTGGATTCTCAGTTGCTTTGTTACTACAAGCGAGTAGCTCCGGTTTAAACTAAACATGGAGAGTGCACCATCCTTATTTGCGACGCGAAGGTATAGAAATCGCCATGAGCTTAAATTACAGTGTAAAAACAACCCCGGATCCTAACAGATGCATAATATATGATAAACGATACACGAGTCAGATCCATTTCTCCTCCAGGACTCTGAAATCTCCAGTTTCTCTAACTACTCGCTCCGCCTCTGCTTATCTTTCCCGCGTTTTTGTTACCATTTCCGGCATCAACTCTATCAGAATCTCTTGCTTAATATCAGTGTCTTCCTATTGGCAGTTGGCGAGTTTTCCTGCGTTGGGATTGGTCCTGTGTCATACGCCGCTAGGTTAATGCTATGGTGAGAGCGTGTGCAGGATGATGGGTGGGCTGTATGTTGTTGGTTGCAAGGAGGGATGGGCGGCAGGAGTTGGGAGTAACGAATGAGTGAGTCGTGTAACGCTGACGGGTGTTAGCTTCTTTCTGTCGTATTCCAGGGCCGAGTCTGTAAAGGGAACGAAGAGCGGGGAGTAAGGAACTGGGAGCATAAAGTGGGGAAGGAATTGCACTCCTAAGAAAGGTTAGTCAGGCAGGTTGACGCTAGAAAAAGATGGTGAAATTTCTCTAAGGGGAGTTTCTGCAAAAGGGGGAAGGGACAAACCCGGAGAATGGCTGGATGCCGACGGCGGTAGATAAGTAGAGTGGCTAAGTGGCTGTGCAGATAACAGAAAGAGCAGTACGTTTCCACCACTTTTATCTTTTTGAAGTCAGGAGGGACGAGGTTACTTGTAGTTTGAAAATCGTGGAAAAAGCAAGCTGAGAAAATGACAAACGCTGCTATTTCAATACCAGGGATATTCACAGTTGCCATGTCAGTTCATTGGTCCTTTCAACTTGTATATCCAGTAGCAATAACTCTGGGGATTCAAGGGAATAAATCTTAGATCTTTTGCATGCAAAGTGTATGGCTGACCAGTATATGAACTATTAACCCCCACCCCCTTTTTAAAAATGTCCTAAATACATATTGAATCAGAAGCAAGCAATATTTCCCTTTCAATAAGACAATATCAGAGCAAAAAATGTGTTGGACCCAACTGAAGCTGCTAGGTGCTTTCTATTGCCAAATACCAATCAAATAACAATTGGAAGCCTATTAGCAAGAGAGGAATGCTATTGCACCTTCCCAAGAGGTGTGTACTTCTTCCAGTGTTTTGGATATATTTTGTAATATTTTGCCATTTTAACTAGTAGCCATAAATAGCCTTATTCTCCATTAATTTATCTAAATCATGTTTAAACCATTCATCTGAACAAATATCATAGACATATTCATCGACTGAATATGTAGGGAGGATGATTCCTGTAGTCTTTCTCACTATAGTAAATAATTTCTGTTGGTTAAAGAATGAATATTCTGAGATACAGAGGGAACCCTTAAAGTATAAAAGGACATGTCTAATTCTGAAATACCATCTATGTACTTTTAAGTCTCAGTATCCCCTTTGTCATAAATTAAATAATAAAAATATTACATGCATTTCAAATTTTCAGGAGACGTTTGCAGTATCTGTTCCCACTGTTATTGAACTAAAAATCTTATAATAATCTGCATTTATTATTGTATATAATAGGCCACTTCTGGCATCTCCATGTGTTTTATTACAACAAACCTTATTCATAGCTGTTGGACAGATAACCATACTTATATAAATAAATGTTCCAGGCATAAAATTTTGTGAGGTCAAATAATGTTAAATTTGAGAAATAAGGAAAAACCCTGACTTGAGTTCTAGCTGGTTTAGTTCTAAGAGCTCACTTGTTTTATATTGTAATAAGACATGACCAACATCCCTCCACACAAATCGATAGCACTTTTCTTAGAACACAAATTGACCACTGTACAGTTCTAAGCACATTACCTGTGTATGTCTCTCTCTCAGTTCCATCAGATTTCCACCTCAGGCATACAGAATTGCAGTCAAAGGAGCTGGGCAGAGGTTTCATGTAGGACTAGAAGAGTGGACTTCAGGCTGGGACTCTTCTTGTTTTCATACTTTACTTCAACAGCAAACGTACATAAGTATTGAAGCTGGCAGCACATTTCTTGTTACTTTTGGGTCAAAAGTATAGGCTAACAGCACGATTGTCCTCAAATCCATTTACTGAGTGACATTGGGCCAATTAATGCCTATCTGCCTAATTTAGCTAATGAGATTTTATATAGAGTCTGTGTGTCATCTTGAGCTCCCTGACAGAAATGCTGAATTTAAATAGAATTTAGTTCTCAGACAGCAGCTGACGTTCCTTTATTGTGTCGTGCTGTGGATGGAAGTTTATACGATGGAATATTTCTTCATAAAAATAATTTCCTGTACATAACATTAGAAGGATTATAATATGCAGGTAGTCCTAATATGCTAGTATGCATAGTACTGGTAGGGTAGCCCCCTCACATTTGGCTGACTTCCTGTTTAGCCACCTATATTTTATCATCTGTATGAGCACAGCCTGTATGACTTTTTTTTTAATTTATTGTCTTGTGCAAATCAAGAAAACTGAGTTAATTGATCAGACCTTGAGTAAGTGTGTCAGGTAAATATAGTCTCGAGGTCTTCATCTGCAGGCTGTATTTATTTGTTGCTAAATTATATTAGGTGCTCTAGAGAAAATACTCTCAAAACAATGTACCATAAAAACAAAATCAATACAAAAACGTAATAAAAGAACAGATAAAACATTTTAAATCAGCAGAGACAAAACATACAACACAGCAGAACAAAGAATTAATAGTTTTGAGTTTTTTGCCAAGTGCCCCCCAAAATAACACACATGTCAGGCAGACCTCAAACTAGGGGACTACTAATGAAAATGCCCATTCCTGAGCACCTCTCTCAACGTGTGAAGGGACCCAATACAGGGCATCTAATAATCTTGGAGCTTGGGTAGAAATATACAAGAAAATGTGCTTCATTCAATACTGTTGTCATCCCAAGCTGCAAAGTTCTTTCTAGGTTAACGACAGCAGTTTGGATTAGGCCTGAAAACAATCTGAGGGCCATTAAAAATGCTGCAGTACAAACATAAAATGGTTCCCATGCTCAGTTCTGGATAATATTTGGGCAGCATATTTTGCACTTACAGGTTTTCAGACTGTCTTTAAGGGCATCCCCTTGTACAACACTTAACAGTATTCTAAAGAGGTTACTAGTTCAAGGAGAGCAAGCAATTTGTTTCCAGATACAGCATAACTGATGACAATGCAGATATAGTTTCAACATCCAAGATACACATTTCTGGGTAAGAAAATCTTTACTTATTTAATTCTCAGGCTTCTCTTAGATGACATGTGCACAGACTAGTGAAAGAGTTATGAATCTTATATATAATAAGGACATGTTATCAGTAAGGGAGCAAAAAGACAAATAGATTACCTAAACATAATTTATTAAGCAAACTCAGAATTGACAGCCTAACCATGTGCCATTAGCCATTTCCCCACCAGCAACATACAATATCTTTTAGCACCACCCAGCCATTATGGAGACTATAGAAAGTCTCATTACTGTTATATCAGCACCAAGGTGGTTGGATGTATCTAGAACAGGGGTCACCAGACTCTTCAGCTGATTGACCCCTTCATGAAGTTTCAAATTGTTCATCTACTCCCAAACATTTATTATATGAAAATTTAATAAATACTACTTTAATATTACTATGAATAATAATAACAACGGTAATGGATAGTCCCATTGACCCTTGAGGGTCGGTTTGATCATTTTGGGGAACCCTGCTCTAGAAGTTACTTGTGGGAAATGGCTGTAATCAATGAATGAGAGTGCCAGTCGATTTCCTGCCTTATTTTGCTCCTCCAGAGATTTTGCTGTTCTTCATACTGCTGCTCTGAATATCTCCCAATGTGCAGACTTTGGTAGGACTATCAGATTTTCATTGCAACAGTCCAATCACAATATGAAAACAAAAGACTGGTATCTCTTTTCTTTCATCTGGTGGTCATTTGGATTTTTGCAGTGCAGATAAAACAGCTCTAGATTTTGCATTAGAAACAGACTAGGTTAGCTGCACTTAAATCCAATTACTTCTCCCACTGAGCAATGAGAATTAAGACCAACTAACTTTGTCTGTTTACTGTTCTTGTGAAAAGGTGTTGTTGGTTTCTGCATAAAAATGCTGTAAAATAGTACAACCAAATGCTTTTTTTAGGGCAGTTGGTAGTGGTCATATCCTACTTGGTCCACAGCTTGTAACAGTCCAGATTCAGGACATGCTGCCAGGTCTGAGTGTTTTAAGAACAAACACAGCTGAGACACAAAGGAGAATCAACTTTCTCACAAAAAGTGAGAAAAGAAAACTTACACAGAAAGAAGGTTGCTAAAAAAAAACAAAAACCCCCCAGGCTTTTTGTGTTTTTCAATCTGTGACATTTTTAATATTGCAGGCAGGTTTACACATTTAAAATGCATATTTCTGTTACTGAATGTCCTAACAAGTTATAATTTAATTATCAGTATGCAGAATGTTTTTTCCTCTAATACCCCCCATTAACCTTGCTATACTGCATTGAAAGATTTCTTATAGATGTGAAATGAGAGACGTCATCAGGGATGACTTTCTCTAAGGTTTTCATGCAACATATTTCTAAGTGAGTCTTTCGTAATACAGAAGCATAGAAGACCTCACAACCTCTTAAGGTAGGCATACTGTTAAGTGACAGTGGAACTGCTGCCTTCGTCCACTGACCTTAGTCCTGCGTTTTCTGAGTTGCCAGGTGGCACTGAACAACATATGTCAATCTGCATTAAATATTACACAGTGACAATTAGCTGGAGCTGCATAAGGAGTCAATGCAGTTATGTTAAAGTAATCCTGTTGTTAAAGCACTGGGGTAGATAATTTGGCATCAAGGTATAACAATAAATAAAATGAAGAGATATTAGGATGGGGTAAAGTTAAGTACTTTGTCCTTAATAACAGTGAAATTGTTGAACATGTTTATAAAACTGCAATATTGTACTGTACAACTGTATTTTCATCTATTTTTGGCCAGCTCACCTAAATATAAGCAATTAAAATTAATTTTGATCTGTTTTGCTCCTAGGGATGGTATAGAATTTATACAGCAAGAAACAATAGGTTTCACATTATGCACGTCTTAGTTTGATTTATCACTGGCAATACAAAGTTACTTCTTAAGTGGGTAACTAGCATTGGCGTTATCTTTCAGCTTTTGATGGAGATATCTGGAGACTGTAGCACCCCGTATGTCAGAGTGACTCCTAAATACCATACTCGTCTGCAGGGTCCAGAGCCACAAGTGGGCAAAAGACGCTTATCTCAGGCACGTCATAGAGCCACTTTGGCCGGACTCTTCAACAACTTACGAGAAACTGTATTTTCACAGCAAGAAAATTCTGCCTCAAAGGTACAGAAATAAATATGTGAGTCTCCGAACATGAAAAAATCTAAATATTACTAAGTATTATTCTTGCTATAATGTTCACATGTTCTTACAGTTGTTCTTTTTAAATTTCATCTATGAAAATAAAGCTGTTATGGAAGTTTGGTTTAGTGTTTGTTCCAGTTTTGTCTGTAAATGTAGGGAATTGTTCTCTGTGTGCTTGAACTGTATCACTTAATTAGAGCAGGCAATCTTTTTAGTCAAGAAGTACATACCACAGGAGAATGCCAACTCACAAAAAACCTGCCATGATGGACATGGCCAATCACAAACCATCCATTTACTGAAAGGAATCCCCAGGTTTCTTTCCTCAGTGCCAAAACATTGCTGCAAATAAATAATGTTAGAGGTGAATGCTTTGCTTTGCAACATGCTAGCTTCTTATTTAATCTTATTTAGGAGAACAATCATTTTTTATGATTATGGCATGGAAGTTGATGGACACCAAGAGTCCTTCTTTTGACTTAGAGCTTTGAGCCAGCAAGGTGTAAAAGGGCAGAGCTTTGGTTTTTCTGCTGCAACCCCATCTTGATTTTCTTGACATCTCCCCTCCCCCACAGGTGGTGTTGAGGATACATATATAGATTTTTACTTCGTTCAGTTTGGTAGCAAATCTGTAGCAAAAGAGTATCTGCTTCCAATCAGATCATCTATTAGATCTGCTAAAAGCCACAGGTGGAGGAGTCTGCATGTGCCCAGACTTCAAATTCCTACTTATATATAGGACTCTCCAAAATTGCAATGTGGCTCAGATTTTTGACACCAAATTTGTTTTTTATAAACTGCTTTGAAACTCCCTGTTAGAAAGCATTCACTTACTTTATTTCCATAATCTACTACATTGTGCAGTCTTTCCCTGCTTCCTAATGGAAGCCTCTTTCCCAAGTGAAGTCTTCCACCTGTTCTTTCCTGGTACTTCTTTACTAGGTAAGGTATCCACACCCTCTCTTCCTATTTATTGTTCAGGACCACATTCAGTACTCTAAGTAGAGGAAGGTTGACCTAATCTGTGATGGCAGAGAAGCATAATCAAGGAATTATTACTGGCATTGGCTGTAAAGGCACTATGGCAGCCTGGCTGAAGCCTCGTCCACCTTGCACCATAATACTTTATGTAAAGGACTCTTTGACAAAAAGAAGTGGTTTGATTCACTGTGTGCGATGTGGAACATTGTATGGAAGTAAGGATTTATGAATCAGTCTCTTTCTGGTCCATGACAATTTTATATTATCTTAATTTATAAGCCTGTTTCATCCTGTTTTGGTGTCTCATTTTGTATTTTTGAAAAAATCATATTTAAATCTATTATGAACAGTTATAGCATGCACAATACATATTGTACATATTTTATTCTAAAATACAAATGGTCACACCATGAACAAAGCATGACTGACTTACCCAATGCACTTAACACAACAAATTTAACAAACAATTAAAAGAAAAACATGTTAGGAAAACAAATATGTACCAGGGCACAAGTATATATTATAATATGTTGCTGAGATGATTGAGGTACGTGCAAAGTAAAAGCAAAAACTTAGATCTGTGAAAGATAACTACAGTGGTACCTCGGGTCACAAACGCATCTGTTCACGACCAATTTAGGTCACGAACAGTACCGTTTGCAAAATTTTGCTTCTGTCTGCGAACTCCGCATCGGGTGACGAACAGGATCCGTGGCCATTTTCCCTGCCGTGACACATGGTCATGGCTTCCTGTAGGGAGGCGGACTCTCCCTCCAAGCAATAACCGCCTCCCCACCCGCCTTCCTGTCCTCCATGCCAGAAGTCGCATCGAGCAAGGTTAGCGTTCTCTCTCTTCGTACTGTACTT